AACTAATAGCTTAAATACACATGGTAACGATATTTTCACATGTGAAAATAACATGTTTTTTCACATGTGAAAATATCAGTTTTTCGAAAAGGAGAAATATAGGTATTTTATGGATAATTACTGTATATGATAAATATTTATATTATTTTGCTAAATATTCAGTTACTATTAATTTCGCTAAAGAAATAAGCTATAAAGCCTTAAAGTATATTTTTGATTTCTGGCGTTCTTCACAGATCAGTATTGGGACCACTTTAATTTCTCTCACAGAAAGCTTTCCCCAAAAAATACTACTGAAATATATAGATGGCAACAATAGTATTTCAAAAAGTGAAAATTAGTGTAAAAGCAAACAAAATAAAAAGATAATGACGACTGCGCATAAGTATATTTCACGCGTTGCAGGTGTTTATATATTTTTATTAATTTAAGAGAAAAAAAATTCTAACCAAAACAGCGCGACAAAAAATGTTTTAATAAATACTGTAGCTCAAAATATCTTATTGTTTTCTTTTTGAATAGAAAAAAATTGATTGAAGAAAACAAAAGTTCGAAACTAAAGCAAGTTTATAAGTAAATAAATTTCGAATTTTCCAATATTTTTTGTGAATTCATTATCTTTCAAAGACTATACAAAATAAATTGCTAGTATTCATAGAAAAATGGTCAAAGTGTGAAGTTTTCAACAGCATGATAAATATTGTATTTTTTTATCTACGAAGTGTACACTCGCAACTTGATGCAATACCACTTTTGTGTTATTACATTAACGATATATCATACATGTATATTCAGTTGCTTTTTTCTTTATCTTGTGATGTTATTTTCCTTAACACCCTTACTGATATTCATTTATTTATGTATAATCAGTCTATTTAATATAATATAATGACAAGAAATATTTTAAGAAGAGGCTTTCTCACGTATACAATATTTATCGATCAATCAATCAATATAATAATCATTCATTCATTCATCCATGCAATCAATTAATCATAGATTCTTTTAGTCGTCCATTTATTCATCCTACCACGACCTATTCATCTATTTTCGTATTGCTCATTGTCATTTCTTGTCGGTTTTCCACTGCTAATTTCCTTAAGCCTTTTTTTAATTTCTTATTTTGTTTCTTTCCATCCTTTCCCTCTCTCTCTCTAGATTCTTGTTGCTTTATTCTCATTCTTCTTGTTTTTTTAATTTCTTGTTTTATAACCGTGAGGACACGCGAACCGTGATCACTTGGAGTTTTTCTTCAGGCAATCAACTCCTGAACTTTCTAACTGTTTCAAACTCTCTAAAATAAAGCATTGAGCTCAAAATACCGTTATCAAATAAATCTTATTATCAGTCGATTGGCTCAGAGGATGATTTACAGTATGCATTAAAAAAGTAAAGAATGAGAAAGTCGTCCTCAGTTTTCATTTTCGAAACAACGGTTCCATAGCACTAACTATTCACAGTCTGATCAGACAAACGAGAGAGTCTTTCTCTTTTTCTTTGTCATCTTCCTCCTCTTTCTTCTTTTCAAGCTTCCACCTAGCTTCTAGCTTTCTCATTATTCTTCCAATTGTCCTCTCTTTTCTTTTATTTGTCAGTCCCAAACATGTAATTGTTTATTAAAGAAATAAAACAGCTTTTTGAATACGCAAAACAACCGTAGTAGTTAAGAAATTATAAATATAACTGCAATATCGAGACATGTAGAAGTCTATTCCACATTAGAAACTTAAATTCTGGATGATTTAAACAAGTAAAAATTTTGGTCTTTAATTGGCGAAATACTATTGGAGTTAGAAACGTCCTTTTCAAGCAACTTAGAAAAGAAATTAAACAAATTAACATTATTGGTCAATCTTAATTGGCGGAAGTATTTCAATTTTGCTTCATTAGCAGAACCTATAAATGCAGTAACAGATATGAAAGGAAAGAAAAAAAGGCGTAAATAATTATTAACATTTGACATCCATTTWAAAATTTTTAAAGAAATCGAGCTTCGAGTTTCATTGCTTGCATGTTACGTCATAGCCACCATCTTGGTTGACGCTAACAAAGCATTTCTCGTTAGTTTCTCTTGTTAGATCAACTAACGAGGCGGCTGTTTCATTGTCATTCATATCTCGAGTCACATATCATATGGTTGCATCAACCTTTTTATATATTGTTTTTAAAAAATCTAAACTAGAAATATCAAGTAAGATAGTTATAAATTCATTCAGTATATAGATTGAGGTTGGTATGGTAACGTCGATAAACTGGTCTCAAGCATTTCAGCAGCTTGTCAACAGGCAACAGATGTTTTAGAGAAAATAAACATTTTAACGTGTACTAGCTAAACACTTCGAGGAATCGCGAATAGAGGCAAGTATAAGTTCTTTTTTAACAGTTGGTATAGTCAACGATCTTGCTAAACAATTTTTAAAATCTATTTACAGAGTAATATTTAAATGCTTAACTGTTTCGAAGAAGAAGTTTTATTACTATATCTTAGAAAGACGGATTATAAGAGATTTGTTTCTATTCCTTCGAATTATAATTTCTGGAAAAATATATATATATAAAGCTTGAAATTACTAATTTTAAAGTTGAGTCAAAAATAGGGCGAGGAAGGAAATACTAGCATAGCGCTTTATAAAATTTGGGTAATCATTAAAATAAAGGGAAAAAAACATAGCTAAAAATAATAATAAAAGTAAATAAATAACTGATACAATAATACTTAAACTCCATATATATTTTTGTAATTTTTTCTACATTTTAACAATTTTACTGCGTTTTTAAATTCTTGGATATTATATTATTATTTTTTGATCGAGTAAAAATAATAATATACTTGGGGCTAAAAGGCACTTGAAACTTTTTTTTCAAAAACTTCTATTTCGAATTCCGCCATTTTGCTGCTAAAAATATAACAAAATGGTGGAATCGAAAGTTGGACAATGTATAAGTCAGCAAATTATCTAGATTAACTTCTAGGTTATTGAAATTAGCTTGCTATATCTACGTTTTCAATTATTATCTTCTTTTTATTTACGGTGTCTTTAATTTAGGTTTTAAGCTTTAAGTCGGTTTCTGTTGCTGAAGGACTGATGTAGAAATTCGAACTGTGGTGCCGAGCAATAAGAATGGCTCTTGTTAGAATGAGGCCGTGAAAGATGTCAGTTTTCTAATAGGGATCATACTACTAGAAGATTATCAAATTTATGGAATTTTCCAGAATTTTTCCAAGGGGAATTCCAGGAGCAGTACGAACCTGTTTTAATTTTCCGTTTCAAGAAGTAACAGTTTATTGCTCAACCTTTTTTGGAAAATTTATTTCCTTAGATGATTTTCATTTTGAATTCATAAAGATACCGGCTTACTCTTCAAATATGTTTGCCTCGTAGCTTTCCTTTGGAATAGCTTTGTTTTTTATCAGTTTTGTTTTGATTATGCTTCGTAGAAGTAAGTGGAAAAACAAAGTATAAGATACCTTATCATTCAACGAAAATGTCTTATTAAAGGCATGTCACAACTATGAATTTTGCGTAAGTTGCTTATGGTTTGGTTCTGATGATTATACGTGTGCGAATAAATATTGAAGAGGTTATCATTTTTCATAGAATGACAAGAAAGACATGATATATTAGAGCCACTCATTAAATCCATCTTTTTTTTTCTATTTAAGATACGGTATCTGCATGGAATCCAAACACGACGGTGCAAATGAGTTCCAACAACACGTCGACTAGTGCTCCACCGAATACCAACCGGGACAACAACACATCCTGTATGGCCATGGCACTCCGGGTTACCTTTGCTATCATAGCATTCCTTGCAGTGTTTGGAAATTTTCTGGTGGTGGTGGTACTCGTGAAGAATAGAATACTAAAACGGCATGCATCGGCTGTGGTTATTTTTTGCCTTGCCGTTTGTGACATGGCAACCGGTAGGTATTCTTGGCTTTCACCTATATACGCCATCAAAAGTTTTCCAGTTCTAATATAAAACAAAACATCAATAGACCGAGAGAGCAACCAAAACTGTATGTCTCAACCCACGTCCTAGTTAAAAGAGGTTTTAGATAGGAAGATCTAATTCATAAATAATTTTTTTGAAAAAATATTGGTCCGCCATCTTTGTTTCCCACTGAGTGACACAACATGGCGGACAAATCACGAAGGATAAAAAAATCATGTTTCTATCGCGATCAATTTTTCAATAACAATAATCATCTTCATAAACATAGCAATCATCTACTAAAAGTTAGAAAACGTATTATTTCAACCAAATTTCCCAATTTCGAATGCTTTGGAAATCCGCGACAGTTTTTGACTCACCCAATACATCTAAAATCAGACATCGATAATAGAGTTCAAACAGTTTATCCGTGAAACACTAATTACTAAATTGTTCAAAATAGTGCTAGTTAAATAAAACAAAACAATAGAATTMGCATRAARTAGTGTAACTTAGTATTACTAATATTTCACGGATATATTGTTTGCACTCTACAAAATAATTTTGGAAAGACTTTTCTCATATCGGCATTAAAAAATATTTGACCGTTTTGTGGAGTGCAGGCCAATACTTTGGATTTTAGCTTTTTTTGGTGACATCACGTCAAACCCAAGAATTGATAATAGGACATTTAACGGCTTACTTTAAGCATAAAATGGCAATAATGCACTGCAGTATTTCGACATTCCAACGGAGTATCTATTAAATAGCGCAATTAGTGTTATTGTATGGTTGCCGTCGTCGTCGTCGTTGCCGTCCTGCAGCTTAAAGTCCCTAATAAAGGTGGGAGAGGGGGAGGGGGGGTGAGTTCGTTTTAACACCATGTACACCCCTCCCCCTTAACACACACAAAGTAAATTGAAAACAAAAACCGAACAAAAGAAACAACATCCAAATTTCAATTTCAACGAACCCTGAACAACTGAAGACCGTCCGAGAAGATTTTCTTCATAAATATTTTATTCTGTTAAATACTTTGTCAACAGGGATTGTCTTAGTATTCACTCCCGCATTTATCATTGGTGATGAGAACATTCCTGTGCCATCAGGCCTCGCAGGCGAGCTCTACTGTCGCCTGGTTACCTCACAGTACTTCGTGTTCACGCTAGGCAAGATTTCCATAGCAATGATCATGTTCCTGGCAGTTGAACGCTGGTATGCTGTCGCCAAACCCGTCAAATACAAAACGATTTTTACCCGAAAGAGAATGTCGACCTACGTCGTCTTCATATGCCTCGCTTGTTTAATACTAAACGGTAGAGCGCTCTTTGAAAAGGTCCTGGTAACCAATGCTTCAAAGCGCATGTGCAAGTGGGTATCGCTGACCAGTAGCGAATATTTCAACCGCAGCTACGTTATAACCCATAGCATCATCACTTTCTATATACCTTTGGTCGTAACAATGGCTGCCTTTATTCATCTCTTCATTATCATCCGAAAGCAACGTGGTTTAACGGCTAATGTACGCCAATCAGCCCCCGTGATACAACTACTTCGCATGTGCTTCGTCACGTCTCTTGTTCTCGGACTTTGCTGGCTGCCGAATCAGCTTGTTTTCGTCATGATCAAGTTTGGCGTGACCAAGCCTGACACACCGTTACATCACGCAACGATAGTCGTAAGCATGCTTAACTCGTGCGCCAACCCTTGGATTTACTGTGCCACCAGCCGAACATTCCGTCGAGGATTCTTTGGGATCTTTTGTGGTTGTCGTGGCAACAGAGTGGCAATTGACTCGACGGAAATGACCATAGCTGCCGCAAACAGACTTGCACATGGGGATGCTCGGAGAGTCGGGGCTGGTCAAGACGATAAGGAAGAGCAGAAGAGTACCGTACCTGGTTTGCCAACACCTTAACAGACACAAGGCGTAAAAGAAATAAACTTGGCCTTTTACGCACTTAAGGACGTTCATGGACAAAAGATCCCATCATCAGATTTAAAAAAATAATTCCTCTAAAGTTGGGTATTATAAAATACTTTAAGAAAGCTAAAAATAAAAACGGGGTCTCCGACTTTGTTTCATGGCTATAGCTCATGTGTAAATAGTCTCCTTCACAGCTCCCTGCGCCATCTTGAAAGGTAGCCGTGCCTTTGAATCGAAACGAGACGAACGGTGATCTTGCAATGATAGAGACCTTTTTTAACACCTTAGACTATTATTCGCATGTCTCTACCATTGCAAAGAATCTCTACCATTGCAAGCTCACCATTCGTCTCGCTTCGATGCAAAGGCGCGGCTACCGTTCAAGATGGCGCAGGGAACTGACTATTCATGTATGGAAAGGATGCGCGCGAACAATTTATTTAGATTTTATTTATTTGAATCTTCATTTTACGAGGGTAACAATTCAAACCTCTCAGTTATCTAGCTTATGGCCTCAAAATATACGATCATTTTAAATTACAAGGAAAAGAATAAACGAGAAAATATTGGGGAAACAATTAGTCTAATGTTGAACAGAAGTGATGAGTACAGTGAATAGACCTCTTGGGACTGTAGAACGGCAGAAATTGTTCTGAATTGAGGGAGTTTAAAATTTCTTAAGTCCCGTCCTCACGTATCCGGAAATTTTTGTATCCGCAAATTTTTCTTTACGGATACGAAAATGTTTGCGTCCACATGCAGCGTATTCGAATCGTTTTCACTGTCCACACGTATCCGCTTCCGTAAAATTTGCGGATACGGACACAAAAATTTGCGGACACGTGTGGACGCAACCCGTATCAGTATAAAAAAAATTGCGGATACAAAAATTTACGGATGCGTGTGGACGGGGCCTTAAATAGCTTGCACCTTCCTTTCCAAAGCGCACGAGTAAACGATAATAAATCTAAAAATTCCTTTCAAAAGGGATTTAACACCTGTATCGTTAAATAATATAAGTATGAGACTCGCTTGTATATAAGAATAAATAAATAAATAAATAAATAAATAAATAAATAAATAAATAAATAAATAA